TCCATTCATCCAAATTAGGCCTTAACATGCTTGAATTGCATGAATTATGCTCTCTTGCTCTATTTGCCTACAAAACACACAAAGGGAGGCAAATAACTTAGAAATCTAAGAAACTAAGCAAAAGAAGTAAGTAAATAGGGCATGTATATGTATGAAATTATGAGCTTAACACCAAACAAATGGAAAGCTTCAAGTTTCCAAGACTCTAATCACAAGCCAATTACACCAGAAAGAAGAATGAAAATGATGTCAAATAAGGTTATGCCAAAAACAGCTAAAATTTTGACTAAAACATTTCATGAAGAAAATTTGCCAATTAAAAAAGTTCCTTCAATCCTTGGTGGCCCGCATATTGGTTTTAACAATAGAGATTGTTATAACCACTTGAGAAATGTTCGATATAGACAATTGGATGGAGGTGATGCAGAATCAGTCCTTACTTACTTTAGGAAGAAGCAAGTTGAGAATCTTCAATTTTTTATGCCATTCAGTGTGATGGAAATGGAAGGGCAACTAATTTATTTTGGGTGGATGCTCGATGTCATGCATGGCATCCCACTATTTTGGAGATGTAGTCACATTTGACACAACCTATAGGACAAACAAGTATGATATGCCATTTGTACCATTCACAGGAGTAAACCACCATTTGCAATCAATACAATTTGGATGTGCACTTTTACAAGATGAGACAGAGGTAACATTTGTGTGGTTGTTTGAGACATGGCTTGAACAATGGGAGGATGTCATCCAGTTTCCATTATTACTGATCAAGACCTGGCAATGAAAGGAGCAATTACCAAGATTTTTCCAAACACTCGCCATCGGTTACGCCTCTGGCATATTAAAAATCAATGAATGGACTATGCAATGAACTTGTGTGTAAAACATGTTATTCTAATTAATGAAATTAATCACTTCATTACAGTGAATAAACAATTTTTGTTTTTCATACACATATTACAACCAATGTTACATGTACAAATTCACAGTACGTAGACCAATGAACTCTTCCTCATTGTTGAGGCCCAAAAAATCCAGGGCTGGGTCCAAATAAATTTATGGCCCAGTGCGATACCTTACTAAGAAGAAATCCGGTGTGGGCAAGTGAAAGTTCATCATACACACTCGCACGAGTCATGATCCACATGCCATGCCAAATAAATATGTAATCTGTCACGTTAAGAGTTGAAATGAGCCTATAAAATGCACTGGCTCTATGAACCCAAGCTAATTATCCCATCAAGCATCATAGCCTTTGACCACGAGCACACCAATCGACATGCCATACCAAGCGGAAAACCATTATTTTGCACATAGCCACGCTACAAGCTTAAGTGGGCTCAAGCCACACAAATGCCCGGGGCTTGCTGAGTGGGTTGTGGTATGGATGGTTACAAGTATTCACGAGACGCATTGATGGGCCAAGAAGTGGAAGTTTTGGGCTGCTTGGGAGCCCCAAAACTCGAACCCATTTCTTGAGCCCAAATATGTGGGTAAGCACGAAAGAGAGAAAAGGGTAGCCCATTACCTTAGAAAATTGGCCCATCACCTTAGTAAAAATAGTCCATCACTTTAGAAAGTTGGCCCATCCTCTTAATAGACTAGCCCATCACTTTAAGGAATTACCCAAGTGACTTAGAAAATATTTGAAAGTCTCTAGCACATGGCTAGAGACTTTACCACGACAGAAAAACCAAGGGATACTTGCATGTGCAGGCTCCTAGGAGCCTCCAGCACATGGCCAAAAACAAACCAAAGACAGACCATTCGAAAAACCACAGGACATTTGCGTGTGCTGGTTGCTAGGAGAAAAGCACCCTTCAGACCAACGATGTTACCCATTTCTTTCTCCTACCAGCTCTTGCCATGAAATAAGGGAGGAAAGAAGAAGAGATGGTAGCCTAAGATAGGAGATTGCCATTGGAACAGCCGCGGGAAGGCTCTAGAGCTCCCAAAAATCTTGTCTCTTTGTGTTTGTCCGTTATGTTCGAAATCAGGCATATTAAAAATATTAAATGAGATCCTCAAAGTTTAAATAGTTGGAAATTAAATTTTGATGGATCAATTCTTTCTTGTGGCAAAGCTTCTGGTGGTTTTGTTATTCGAGATTCCACTGGGTATGCTAGGGTTACTAGTTCAATTCCTTTAGGTTTTACTTCAGTTCTAGAAAGTTGAAGCAACTAGTTTGAAGTGTGGGTTGTTATGGGCACAACGAATGGTAATTAAAGTTGTACAAATTGAAGAAGATTCCAGATTTTAATCAAAGTGTTCCGTCACATATGAGAGATATTAAGGGATTAATGCAAAGCTTTTAGATTCTCCAAGCTTTTAGACACATCTATCAGGAAGTTAACATGGTGGCTGACGATCTAGCAACAATTGGTCATGTTACCAAACAAAAACAAAATGTAAACTTTCCCTTTAAAACTCATGTATGATAGGGATCCTTAGAGGATCCTCTTTGTAATTTTATTTCTCGTTTTTAAATAATAATAATAACAAATACGGAGGAGATGCAAATTTTAAGTTTTTACCAATGGATCAAATCAAAGGTTCATATTTTAAAATAAAAAATATACTATGAAGACCAAATTTTTGTATCACATTTGAGTACCACATGATGTAGGGATATCATTGCATGCCTACATGCCATGTAAGTTACGGTGCATTTAGATGAGGGAAAAAAACTTGGGATTTTGACAGAAGTCAGAATTTGTAAATTGACATGAACCAATTCCCGTATTTGAATAAAAAAAAACATAGAAATTTAGAAATTCCGCATGGGAAAAAATATGAAATTTGGAGATCATAAATCCCAACTTTAAATTATATCTATAAGTCGTTATTTTTAAAATCCCAAGAGAGGTTGAGTTTTTAAAATAGATAACTTTACAAATAAAGGTTAAATTCTGTGTTTTAAATCCGTCACCAAAACAAGAAACTTTACAAATTCTAGAACATTAATTTCCATCATTTTAAATTCCGTCATTTATGAAATCCTTTGTACTTTTAAATTTCCTCATCCAAACGCACGGTTAATGAATCAATCTCTTTAGAAGCTAGTTAGTTCACATCACTTGTGGTGTTCAAATACGGTACAAAAATGTGATTTCCACAGAGAGAGAGAGAGAGAGAGAGAGAGAGAGAGAGAGAGAGAGAGAGCCGAGGCATCTCTTAAACTAGAGGCAGCAAGGCAATCAAGGAAATTTAAAGGGAAAGAAATGAAACAAAACTTGAAAAACAAAACTAAAAAGAAGCTGAAAAATAGTAGCAAAGGAATATGCAAGGAGGGTAGGGGAATAAAATTAACACACTCTTGAATACATTTTGAACTGATTAATAATCCTGGTAGAAAGGAGGGCAAAGTTCCTACAAGAAAATCACTATACAAGATTTTGTATATTGGATACAACTCCCTTGACCGCTACCAGCCTTGTAATTACAGCTTTAACCTACAAGAGACCCCATTATAATAGATACAACTTCAAAACTTTATTTAACTTCTGACCAAATTTCTCTTATTTTTCTCTTCATATACAAATCCCATGCCCAATTGAACTCGTATCCAAATGCTTTATTTTTTTATTTCCAAGATTTATCGAGCGCCGCTCCATGGAACTTAATATGGGATGCATTCTTTGCTCTTCTTGAGCGCCAATCCTTCAAACTGAAGATTGAGACTTCAACTGCTCATAGTGGCTCTTAGCACGTTGAATGGCCTCCTGAAGTTCTACATACATCTTCACAGATGACTCTGCAAAGATGTTCAACTTACCACAAAACCCTGCCAAGCTTATTTGAAAATGGTCAAAACCTGAAACCCAGTCTTGAGAAACTTCATCTCTCAACATGTTAACTGCAGAATCACTACCATTATCATGTTTCCAGGATGTTAAATCTGATTGGTTAGCATCCTTCCCTTCTTTCTTTTCTTGTTGTGGTAAAAAACTGGAAGTTTCAGCTGCTAAACTCTTTATAGAATCTACCAGTTCCTTGGCAGGCGGCTTCTCAAGCTTCTCAAGCTTCTCCAACCAGAGACCACAGGTGACATATATTGGAGGGCCCCAGTACCGAAAGGGGATTTCTTGTGGCCTCCTTTTCTTTTTGGAAGCCTTCTGTGGAAAAGAGACACATTTTAAAAGCCAGCCATCTATAGACTTCAGATAAGACTTTTGAGCACCAAACCACTTCATAAAACTTGACGATAGAGAGCTGAGTTCATCTTCAAGAAGGATGGTAATCTGACGACGTGATTCTGACTGTACAGAGAATTTGGTGTTGCCATTGTTGTAAGCTATCGAGATTATGTGAAACTGAAGCTTGTGACATTCAAGCATCACCTCCCACATCCGACTTAACCTACAATTTTGTACAAAGAACAGAGCAAATGAAGCCCAAAAGTGAAGCACAAAAGTGAAGCACTCATAATAATCACATCAAGGATATATGTCCACATTTAACTTAAAAAGTATTAAATTCTTCCATCAGAGTACTACACATAATTATCACTAATTCTTTTTCAATCAATCACTTACAATTACATATACTTTTCTCAACTCACAAATCTTTTTTTTGGGTCGAAATTCTCAACTCACCAAATTTTATTTATTTATTTGTCGAAATTCTCAACTCACTAGTTCAATTACTCGAGATATATGTCTACATTTAACTAAAACGTATTTTATTATAGAGACTAACTATAAGCGGTAATTATAACTCAATGCAAAGTGTTTTGCCTGACCTGTTATATTTTCGTCATAAATACATTATTTTACGATGTTTACATATTTAATTGCTGCATTATGGATTGATTTAGCACTTCCTAAAGTTTCACCGCAAACGTACTTATGGATTTTTTTATGAGTTATGATTGTATAATAATATTATGTAAAATTGAACCAACAATTTAGACTAACGTAAATGTGCCGTAATATGTGCATGTGGAAAATGAAACACACTAAGGGTCTCAATCTTACACATAGACATGATTATCCCACCAAAGTCATGTGAATCTCATTTGTTCGCTCTCCAGTTGAAATATCCCATTGTTTAATGTTCCCACAGCATTTCACCAAACATCTAATCTGGATCAAATAGTTAAAGGGCCGGCTTGGTAACACTATTGTTTTTAGTTTTTATTTTTCAGTAAAAGATAGAGAAGAAATGCACCGGAGAAAAGGATGAGAAAGAAGGAAGGAGGAAGGGGGAGGGAAGGGATGGATGAGGGGAAAATGCACACAGAACAATAGCGCCTATATGAAAACTGAAAACAGAAACCTAAAGCAATTCCAAATAGTTTTCCCATCCTATGTCACGTTCAACTTAATTTGTATGGGTTCTTAAGAACAGCCATGAGAAAAGGAAAAAAAAGAAGAATTAATTGACATAAAAATTCTCTTCTTTTTTGCATCTAGTTTTACATAAATATACCCAATTCCAAGTTTCATTGGCTTCCAAAATTGAGTTTCTAGGACGTATAATAAAGCACTAGCAAATAGGAACATACAAAATACATACCCCTCAATCAACTCTTCAAGTTGTGGCTGGAGCTCATTGTCTCGTAAGTCCTCAATCCTCTTTGATATAGAGTGAATTCTGTGAATAGCAACTCTGATCCTAGAATGCAGATCCTTGACAACAGCACGAGTTTTATCAATTTTTTGAGAAGTTTCTCCTTTTGATTCTAGTTCCCTTAAAATCTTACACTTTACGTCGTAATCCCTTCTAACCATCTCACTAGCCTGAAAAAACAGTTGTACACATTCATATAAATTAACATAAGTACCCATATACTCTTTATATAATGCTAGATCAACTTACAACCTAAGATTTTAAGGTGAGAAATCTGAGGGTTTACAAAAAGTGATGCAGATATGTTTTTTAGTTTCAGATCAGAAATGCCAACACCATAAAAACAAGTTCCACATCCTTCTGCATATCTGAAATTTCCGATTTCTTTTTTTTTTCAACAGTTGGCAGTAAAAGTACAAAAGGTAGAGACTGACATCTTGACACTACGCACATTATGAGTAGGCATCAATCTATAAGGGCATCAAAACAACAAGCACAAAGGGGAAGCCCAAATAGCTTAGTTTCTACAGTAATTCTAGTTATAACATGATTTTTCAGTAACATTCCCATTGACTATATCACATCAATGTTTTGCTTCTAAGCTATCAAATTTCCTTTTTTGTCTTTCCCTCCTCCCCCAACCCCCCCTCCCAAGTTGCTGGGTAAGTTAGAAGTGCCTAATGCCAGAAATGTGTAGTTGTAAAATGGGTGAGTACATCTCCACACTCAGCATGTGGAAGTATACTAAATAAAGGGCTGAACTTTCATTTTTGTAACAATGAATGACTTCATGGTTCAATAGCATATCCAGTTATAGATTACCTCGTTCCACTAAATTTGATCCCTATGACGAGTTTGAACATGAAGAGAAGCAGGAACATAAATGAAATGAAGACTCCATGAAATTCTAAATAATAAGATGGTTAAACTAATCTCAGTAATGAAATTGCCATAAAGCATATTTATGCATCTATTTCGTGATCATTTTTTATAACAATTTTAGTGAAAAAAACCATAACAATACCATCAACCATAGAACAGTAAATTCGATGACGACAATGATGATTACAAATGCCATTACTACTGTTATTAATCGACAGTACCTTGACCTCAATGACGAGTTTGAACATGAAGAGAAGCAGGAACATAAATGAAATGAAGACTCCATGAAATTCTAAATAATAAGATGGTTAAAATAATCTCAGTAATGAAATTGCCATAAAGCATATTTATGCATCTATTTCGTGATAATTTTTTATAACAATTTTAGTGAAAAAAAACCATAACAATACCATCAACCATAGAACAGTAAATTCGATGACGACAATGATGATTACAAATGCCATTACTACTGTTATTAATGGACAGTACCTTGACCTCGTCATAAAGCTTCCTCTCCCATGCATATAATCTATCCAAGGTTGAGGCATGACTGCCTGAATTCATGCAGAAGTTATCAAAGAGGTTACCAGTAAGATCCTCAATATCATCTCTTGAGTTTGCCCCTAAAGGATTCCTCGATGAAGAGGACCGAGATGATGTCGTCCTGTGCCAAGTTAAGTACTTCACAGCAGTTTGAGGAGGCTCTAAGTGGAATTAAGGAAAGAATTAGTACCGAAATCAAGATACCAATATCAAGAGTTACCTTAAATGATTTCACAAGATATTAGTATGCATACAATTTTGTTCTCCTAGATACATCTTTTACCTAAAATGTTCCCATACACACGCATGCAGGCGCTCAAACATTTCAATAATAGAAACCTCTAAGTTCGCCACAATTTGCTTCTTAAATAAAACTTTTGGTGGTTTACTCTTCTCTAATCTAAACATGCCAGTTTTTAGTTGTACAAGACTAGTTTTCCTGAAAAGCACGGCCAACTTGTGCATGGCACTCTGCCTAGTTGCTAGACTTGATAAACATGAACACGTATGAACTGGATAAACTAGTTTTGTACTTACTTAACATAGAATTTTCATACCACTCAAATAGAAGTGAAATGAAATACTTTCACAAGCTAGTTAAAAACCCTTGCAAACACATAGCACGAGGTTCTACAAATTGCAATAATTTAAACACAAAAAAAAAACAAAACAGAACAGGACACACATCAATCACATTGTTCTTTATATCTATTCAACTGCATAATTACATCTTTGCACTGAAAATTACAATTTGCCAAAACAGTTATCGAGAATACCATGTAGCATAGACTTATGGATATAAATAACAGAATTATGCATCATCCATAGTTATTTTTTTGAAAAGACACATAACAGAACCATTCTCGCACTAAACCCATGTTGGTTAAAAACCAATGTCTGTGTCATGCATTTGTGACATGAAAAATAAAATGAGAAGCTTAAAGAACAAGACCTACCTTCCTGAACTTGACTTGGGTCTTCACCACAGGAGAAACAAGCCTTCAGGAATGTAGATGAAATTGATCCACCTGCTACAGTAGAAATCCTAGTGTTCATAACTTTCACCAAAAGAAAACAAACTTCCAATGGTCTATAGTAATAGGAAATTATTTCAAAATATTTTAGAATATCCATTCTTTTTTCAATCTTATATGTGCCGTGATTTAAATCTATGAGCTCCACTAAAGCAGGAGATGTTTACTGGAGTGTTCATAACATTCCAGAAACTCTTGATTGTACTTTATTCACAGAATAAATCATCCTTGGATAATTAAAACAAGCTTAAATAGTTCCACTAAAATACTAGAGAGAGATAGATCTTACTTTCTTTTGCCGGAAATAGCGGACGGAAATGAAACTTATTTGCTTCAAGCATTCTGGGAATTTCTTTACCGGACTCGAAAGCTTTTATAAAGAGAACTTCAATATCTTTCATGCTTGAAAAAAAATCTTTTGGGGCAACCTTACTTTCAATACAATCTTCTTTAACTGGTGTTCTATTTGAGTCAGTTTCAACTGCAAATACTGAGGATGTGGCTCTTAATGGTGACAAATCAGGAGAGTTACTTTTCTCCCCATTCAGTAACTCAGTTTCTGAAGTTACACTTTCTGCAGAAGGCATTGTGGGTGAAGCGCTAGCTTCAACATGATCATGTACTCTATTAAGGTTTTCAAAACTTCTAACTAGAGTATCTGTAGCAGGCTCATCAAATTCATCTTCAGAATCTTCAGATTCTTCCCTCCCTAAAAAAGAAACCTTCTCTTCTTCATCTTCCAGCTCAGGAATTCCCTCCTCTTCCCTAAGTCTTCTCATATCATCATTATTTTCAAACACCTGGTTCACTCCCTTCCCTTCTTGAAAAGAAAACTGATGGTCAATTGGGTGAAAGAAATCGAAGTAATCCCATGGTGGAGTTTGAGGTGGGTGTGAAGAAGCTTCAAATGGTGATACTTCAGGTTTTTCAGCGGAGCGAGGCGTGGTATTCTGTGGGGTGCTCGAGGAGGTTACTGTTGCAGTAACAGGCGTAGGAGGTTTTTCTTCTACCTTCTTAGAAAAGCTACCCCTGAATTTCATATGATGTACGTGAAATCGGGTAGAATTTGGAGGAGATGGAGATGGAGAAAAAGTTTCAGCTGCATCAATGCGTTGTGACACAGATGGAGAAGAAAAAGAGAAGTGAGAAAGGGACTTCTCAGTTTGAACAAGAGGCTCTGGCGTTGCATTAGTGGAAGTGTACAAGGAAGACTCAATGGGAGCACCAGGATCGACAAATTTCCTAAGAGCGGTTCCCGTATTCTTTAGTGATTGAATATACATAAGATGAGCTGCTGCTAGTGAGCACCTTCCATCAAGTGCCTGCTTAACATATTTCTTCCTTTCTCGACATAGCTGTAGGGCCTTATCTTCCTCTACTTTAGAGTTTGCAGCCCCCATATCAGCAGATCTGGCCTAAATTCCTCTAATTACATCAACAGGACATAAGATTCCTCCTGAAACTCAATTTAATAGAGTTATCAAAAAATGCGAAATACATGCAATGCTGAGAATTCTTCAAGAAAACAAAATCGTTTGAAACACATACTAGCACAAGATGTAAATTATGTTCATTTAGTAGCACCCCTTAAATCAAAGAGAATAAAAGAAATTTAAAGATAGATAAACAAAAGCATGCCCACCCCCGCCTTCTTTTTGTGAAAGAAATGCAAATTTATTACGGAATTCCTAGCCAACAGGAAAAACTAACAAAAGAAAACTGAGGGACAGAGTACAACATAAGAGAAATCAGCTTCTACATATCCAACTCAGGAAACGATCACATAGTCAAAATTACAACCCTTACCGAAAAAGAGAAAAAAACCTCTGGAGACATTATAGATTATAAGTATATGAAGTAATCAAGAAAATTCCACATGCCAACCTCAATGAATAGAAACACATGTAAGAGATAAGCTAAAGAAATGGGGCAACATCACCAACACCAGCTATAACAACAGCAAGAGAAGGAAATATTGGTTCAAGCTCGAGTTAATCGAGACAATGGATGTGGAGATAACAGAAGTTATAAAACCCTTAAGCAATTTCTCTTTCCCTCGTTAACCAGAGTATCCAAAAGGGACGGAATCTCTGCATATTCAAAAACACTTAACAAAAGCCAAGCAAAGCAAATGAATTGGCCCATTAAAAGATATGGAGGTTTGAAATTCCCATGTAAATAACTTCTCACATCTCAAAACCAATCCCAAAGACCAACTCCGTTAGTTCTAAGTCACTACTAACCTTGATTTTTCTTTATCTGAATTCAAGCGGAAAACCCACCAGAAGAGAGAGCTCAGAAGAAACCCCAATTGAGAGATTCAATTTTTGCAACAAAGTAGATCAAATTGAAGGCCTTGGTCCTGGAGTTTGTAAAACGCAATCACAGCCTCTGCAGTTGAACACACACAGAAACAATTAGACTATTAAAACCAAACAGCCAAAGTCAAACAAACGAAGCAATATTCATAACTATAAGACACACACACAAAACAACCCATCTCAGTCTCACAAACCAACAATCGAAGAAATCAGAAACGAAGAACTGAACCCAAATTCAGTACCCACGAGAAAGAAGAAGCAGAATTGTACAAGAGCAGTGAAAACCAAAACTAAGCATAGACAAAAAAAAAAAGAGTAGAGGAGGAATTTTGAGTGTACCTGAGAATTGAAGTGACGCAGAGGGCGTCGAATGATAGCTTGGATTTCAGAGCACAACAGAGACGTGTGAGAGCAGAGTGTATGAGTTTCAGAGAAAATAAATAAAATTCAGAGAATTCCTTTTTTTCCTTCTTTTAGTAATTAATATTTAAGAGGCAGAGCGAGTGAAAAAGAGAGAGAGAGAAAGAGAAAAAAAAAATAGAAAGATAATAAAAAGTGTTTTTCAGAAAGAGAAGTCCAGAAAAACGAATCTGCCGCCGCTGCTGCCTCCATGCAAAAGGGATTACACAAAGACAACAGATCAGTGTGGATTGTGGACCCCACTTACTACCCTTAACATTTTTTTTTAGTTTTTAAATATTTATTTATTTAATTATATAAAACCTTCCTATGAGATCTGGACCTGGCGTTCCAAAAGAAAACAAGTCATTAAAAATAAACCTAATCAGCAGATGCGCGTTGCGTGAGACCTACCTCGCTGCTTGGTGTCACTCTTATCCTACGTGTATCTCTGTCAGCGCTATCAAATGAATACAACTTCCTTTACAACAAAAGGCTGACACACACTAAAGTAAGGAAATTTTGGTTTTTTTAAAAAATACAGACAAGATTTTAAATGAATCTAATTTACAAAATTCGGTGCCGTGACCAATTTAGTCTAAGAGAAGTAATGGGTGGGAGCAAAATACCATTGCACCCATTTTCACATTTGTGTTTAGGTTTTTTTTATTTTATTTATAGTATTCTCTAAGGAGGGGGAATTATATTTGGTTGTCTCAAGATTATCTCCTACATGAATCGAATACGGGTATATTTGAGTGAGGGAGAGAGATTGGCCACTTTTCCACTGTGGTGCCACCTGTGTGCATTTGTATTTATGTTGATAGATGGAGATTTGGTGAAAACTATATTGGGGATAATTAATGGTATTAATATTGGTGATAGTGTCATAATATTTGGGTTATTTTGTTGATATTTTTATTATGAAAAGTATTTTGAATACTTCTCAGAGATCGGCGATTATTTTGAATACTTGAGAATCAAGATCGAATCTTTTGAATACTTGGGATGCAATGAGGAGGAAAGATCATGATCACGACTTGATCACCAAGTAAGTTGACTCCCCTCTACAAATAAGAGGAGCTACAACGTTGACATCTCTCTCTTAAAACAATGACTCAAAACACAACGTTCCTCAGTCAAAATTCTAATCTACAATTAAAAATTATATAATGAATGAATAAATAAAAACGTTAGAAACTAACAAAAGATAATTAAAAAACCCTCTTTCGAACAACAAAAAAATAAAAAGAAACCACCAGCACTCCAACCCCTCCTTCCCCAACCTCCCTATCCGCAAAACAAAAATCTCGATTAGTTGAGCAGTGATGATTAACAGAGAGAGGGAGAGGAAGAACGCAGAGGGGAGAGAGAGAGAGAGTAGAGAGCAGAGGGGAGAGAGAACAGAGGGAGACGGAGGGGAGGAGGAGGGATAGCTGTAGGTTTTTTATTATTATAAAGTTTTAATATTTTTTTTCTCTAAAATACTTATATGTTTTTTAAACCCACGTATCGTTATCTTATTGGATATGTGGAGTCCACATATGTGACATGTAATCAATTTGCCACAAAATTCGAACTTCGGGTGTGACATTGCTATTCTTTTTCCTTCGTGGTGGTAATTGAACACATCGCTACTATTTCAAGTGATGTTTGTACACTTCTCCCAAATCAATATATCAACCATTACACTTGTATTTTGAGAATCATTATCGGGAAATTAAATTCGTACGTGCTCTCTCTTATAAAAGAACAATTTTACTGTAACATATAATCACTATTAAGGACAAAAGTCAATTAAAAAATAATTAATTTGCTCTATGCCGGACATAAATTCCCCGATGACTAATAAAGATTTTTGTGTCCTGAAAATTAAGAACATAATGTCAACCGAGTCTTTCAACACACCATTGTAGTGTGAGCTAAAAAGCATCCAATATCGAAGTCAGATTTAGAGTATGAAAATGCAGAAGTAAGGTTCTTAGAGCATCCACAGTGGGGATGTGTAAATTCGGGGGTGTAAAGTCACTTTTACATTCCCTTAACACCTTCGGATGATGTAAATGTGATTTTTGCTCCAATGGAAAATATGTAAATATAAAGATGTATATTTGATTTTCAAAAAAAAAAAAAAAACCACCAGCACTCCAACCCCTCCAACCCCTCCTTCCCCAGCCTCCCTATCCGCAAAACAAAAATCTCGATTAGTTGAGCAGTGATGATTAACAGAGAGAGGGAAAGGAAGAACGCAGAGGGGAGAGAGAGAGAGAGTAGAGAGCAAAGGGGAGAGAGAACAGAGGGAGACGGTGGGGAGGTGGAGGGATAGCTGCAGATTTTTTATTATTATAAAGTTTTAATCTTTTTTTTTTCTCTAAAATACTTATTTTTTTTTTAAACCCATGTGTCGTTATCTTATTGGATATGTGGAGTCCACATATGTGTCATGTAAGCAATTTAATAGAAAATTGAACAGCAGGACCAACTTGATGTACGAAAAGTAACCTTAAGGATCATTAATGTCACAAAAAAACTTTAAGGACAAAAGGTGATAATGTAAATGTGAAGTCACTTTTACATTCCCTTTACACCTTCGGATGATGTAAATGTGATTTTTGCTCCAATGGGAAATATGTAAATATAAAGATGTATATTTGATTTTCTTGTGTTAATTCGATTGTGTGTGTGTGTTAATGTTTTGAAATTAATTTTGTGTGTGTTAAATTTATTTTATTTCAAATAAACCTAAAAATATTTAAATTCGGATAAATTATGAAGAGTGATGATTTTTGTGAACAAAGGTTGTGCGTATATATAGAAAATTAGAAGAAAAAAAATTAGGCCTTTTTTCCCATCAATTTCAGACAATTAGATGATTTTGGGGTTTGTTTAGAAATTGTTTGGGCCTTTAGATTAATGATTTTGGAGTTTGTAAAAAATTAGAGCCGTAGGATGTTTTATGTTGGAGCACCAATTCAAATGCCATTAAATCAAGCACACTAAGACGCAAGTAGGGCCCGAACTAAGTTATGTTGGATGACTGAAGTTGAATTTGCGAGTGTGGGGCGCGTAATTCCAGAAACTTTGCTGCTCTTCTCTCTCATCTCTCCTCCTTTATTAGTCATGGGGACCCGCTTTTGGGATGTTAAAAAAGATGCTAAGAGCATCCACAGTGAGGGGGTGTATTTTCGGGAGTGTAAAGCCACTTTTACATCCCATTATACCCCGGTGGGTGTAAATACGTTTTTTGCTCCAATAAGGGGGTGTATTTTCGGAAGGTGTAAAGCCACTTTTCTCCATTTTTCCACTCCTTTTTGCAGTCGGATCCCACCTACAACAGATGTAAAAAGGGATGTATAATTGCATCTAAATATACATCTCCAAGGTGGTGATGTAATTATACATTCATATACACCCCTCATTACGGGTGATTCCGATCACAACGGGTGTATATTTAACATACACCCCCTTATACACCCCCCCCCACTGTGGATGCTCGAACTTCCATCTGTTCTTGCATCTTAGCTTGAGAATGCAAATGTACAACCATTTACATACGAGATACGACCATTGGAGCTGATTCCGGCGATAGGGGGGTGTAAATCTGATATACACCTCCTTTTATAGGCAATCACTGTGGATGCTCTTAGTTCATGGAATAGTTGCTTTCTACATTTGATGGGCTTTGGTTTTTATATAACCTCTAGGTGGCTAGTTTCGCGCCATTGTGGGTGACATGGTGTGTGTTCATCAATCGAGACCCATTTTTTTGGTCATCGTGTTAATTAGGGGTTTGATTTGGGCTGTGAGATAATTAATGAGTTTAATACACATGATATTATTCACGTAGCAGTAACTGTCACCTATGAGTGGGCAAGATTAAATAGGTGCCTATAATCCAACCGATGGAGAAATTATAGAATGAGACGGTATCACCACATCAACTGGTGATACACCCACTCAAAATCTAACACGTATCACTTTTAAAAGAAAATTAAAAAACAATTACACCTGGGCTTTGTCTTCCAAGTTTACCCTTCAACATTAATTAGACCTAACCCCTCTCCCACCGTCTTCCCTGTGCTTCGCTTCTCCCTCGCCACCAAGCTGTCTTCTCTTTTCCCTCGCCACCCACCCCAACCTTTCTCTCCCTTCTCATCCAACATCCCCAACCCAACCCCTCTTTCCCTCCCTCTCATTCTCGATAAAAAAGTTAAACGCATTAAGAAAAAGCCAAAAATCTTGAATATATATAAGTGCAAATCAGAAATCTTCAAAAGCATCTCCTATGATGATAAGTTGACAACCCACTACTTAAAGAAAGGTAATGATGGATGTTATGGGCAACCAAGTAAATTAGTTAATTTTTCATTTTTCTGTTAATTTTATCAACCACTTTTTGGGTGGTGTTGTTTGATGTTGTTATTCATGGAGGGGGACTGCAGCCAAGGGGCGGCAGTGCGTGGTGGGCAGATTGCCGATGGGATCTGGGTGGGACATTGCTACAATCTTGTTTTCTTTTTCATGTTTCTAAAATATATATATATATTTAGGGTAAAGTTGGAAGACAAAAGTACAACTATGAAAAAAAATATAATTATTTTAAAAAAAATTGACACGTGTTAGATTTTGAGTGGGAGTATCATCCGCTGACGTGGTGATACCGTATCACTCTATGATTTCTCACACATATGAGGTAATCTGATTTATACCCTTGAAACGCCCTCTCTCTCACGCCACTCTCTTTTTCACGGCTATGGCCACTCTCACACACGGCTCTCCTTGTGCAAGAAGATCTCCATTCTTTCGATTATCTCAGTATCTTTTTCAAGAACATTTAACTGACTTACGCATGAGGGCCTTTGGCTAACACCCTCCGGGTGTAGTCTATTTACTCCGGAAGAGGAGAAAGAAGGAACATCAAAGATCGAGGAATCAACCGCGATTATTCCCCTTGCGGAATTTTGCTCAAACACTGACCTCCTTCATGGATTTCTAATATACAAAGTTGGAACTCGTACATACTTAGTGGGAATAGAAAATCAACAGGAGTTAAAAATTCTATTATCCTTGGGAATCGCATGGAAAGATGAATATTTGAAGTTATAGAACATGTTGCCTGTTTGTCGATTTCCAACTTGACGTGGTTGAGCGGAAGCAAAATAGGGCTGGTTTTGAGGTTCAAGTGACGTAGAGGAGCTTTCCAAGTGGCTTTGAGAGACTTAATTAGTTTTTATTTCTTTCTCCTTGTTGAAGAAGGAAGTCCTAATAAGGTTAGAATTAGTAAGCCCATTATTTCTCTTTGTTGGCGGGGAGACGGAGAGAGAGCTTTTGAAAATGAAGAGAGAGACCACAAAAACATTGATAGAGTTTTTAGAGAGCTTGCCATGACATGGAGCTAGGGTTTGATGTGGAGTTCTTGAAAATTTCTAAGGTGATGGTGTGGAGAAGAGATCAAGTCATTGATTGGATTTATTCTATGACACTATTTATCATGGTTTTTATTACAGTAGTCATGAACAACTTCTTCTTGCTAGGGCTACAATGTATCCTAGTTATAAATACTTAATTACTTTAGTTAGTGTTAATTTCAAGTATTTTTTTTCATATTATTCAAACTTCTGGTGGACCGACAATCCAAATTTTCAACAAGTGTTCTTTACGTACTCAAATTAGAACTTATAGGAAGCCGACAAGTTCTTCGTGGGATCGACCCCGTACTTACATAATCTATACTTCATTAGATTCGTGCACTTGCGGGTATTTTTAATTGGTTGTTTGCACATTAATTTGTGTCCTTTTAGGAATGCAACAATTATCGGTATCGGAAAAAATTGAATAAAAACCATGGAAATTGTAAGAAAAACTTGGAAATTTTTATTGAAACTTTGCAGGATGTTTATTTAGTCAATTATCTATTAGTTTATCACAAAAAATTGGAAGGAAATGCATTGCATGATGGATTTAACTGATTTAAGTTGATTATATAGCGAGCTGGCAAACACTGTAAGTGTAGAAAATATGTAGTAATTAATGAAAGAAGATTAAACACACCATAATCATTTATATATAATGAATTACTACAATATTTTACACTTTATACATTGCATGGTAAGATACACGAGTGACTTAGTACCATATAGAGTTCCTATGAGGTTCAAAATTTTCACTATCTTCATCATCTCTATGTGTAGAGTAAGTATATTGTGAAGAGTAGTCACCAAATGATAAATCCCCAAAATAGTTTTGCATGTAATTGTTAACATGCCACCCATATGGAATTGAGATTGGTTGACGTTGTCCATAAGCAAAATCATTTGGAGTTATTAGACGTTGTCCATAAACAATGTTGAAACGTGGTGAGTTGTTCAAAAGTAGAAACTTGAAAAGGAATGGTCAAAGATTCATTCTCATCTCATGTGAAAATTTGTTTCTTGCAAAAAGAATTCAAAACAAAACCATGTATATATATAAATATTTTAGCATATTTTCACAAAAACATAAGTGATATGGTGGTTAAGGTATTGAAGGAGTAAAATGGTTTTCACAAAAACCATGTATATAAATATTTTTAGGTTTCGTATCGCGATATTATCGATAATATCACGATATATTGCCCAAATCATTCATAAAAATGTTGAAATTTTCGTCTCCGATATTATCGGGATAATATCGATAAAAGTATCGATATATTGACGATAACACCATTGTTTGTTGCGAAAATATCGGCCCCCCAAAAATCCGATATTATCGGGATAATATTGCCGATAATATCGACATTTAATACCTTGGTCATGAACAACTTCTTCTTGCTAGGGCTACAATGTTGCCTAGTCATAAATACTTAATTACTTTAGTTAGTGTTAATTCCAAGTATTTTTCCATGTTGAGTATCTATTATTATGCTTAATTCTTTGAATGTTTGGCAACATTTAATTGTTTTGATGCTATATTGATGACATGGATGTCCAATTTAGAGTTTTGCTTCTTGTAATAGATGTCATGGGTTACATGATTAGACATGGATGTTTGTCATGACTTATGTGGTTGTTTTGCAGGTCTTCCCAAGAACTTAATGGGCTCTTATTATACTTTTGGTATGACCAAGGATGATGAAGTATCAAATAAATTAGGGAAAATCAATTGTTAACATGGAGAGTAATTAGAATTAACATGCTAAGGGAATTGGGTAGAATTGGCTATAGTGAAATCGGAAGCTCTAGTGTTCTCATAACTTGAATCTCACCACCTTATTTTTATAATTTTGCTTTTATTTATTGTTTTTAGTTAATGAATCATTGAATCTCATTATTTAACTGTTCAAATAAAGTCTAGAGTTAATCACAATCAGTACTTGGTAAATTAAATCACTCTCCGTTGAGATGATACTTCAATTATCTCTAAACTATTGTGTGATTTGTATGCTTGCGAAATTGCTCAACAACTTCCATTGCCATGATTTAAGTATGTTATCATATTGATGTTCACATAATAAATCTTAGCACCAAAGGCTTCATGTGCAACATAAGGCCTTTTACTCAGTCAACAAACTTTTAATTTAAACCTAGCCGAAGAAGATATGCAAAATTGGGTTGCAAACAATAGGGGACTATTATGGGTGTTTCTTTCTTAAAGTACTACTTTTGGACTCTGATCACAATTGATTGCACCCCACATGAAGTGGAGAGGAAAGCAATTACCCATCATTCCTTCCTTTATACTCTGATGTTTGCTTGCTACCGACACCACAACGTGTAAAGCAATCATCCAATATTTCTTCATTTTTGACTTCTTCTGATCAGTAGTCCTTGGAGTTTTCCTTCACTAAAAAAACCTGAAAACAAGTGAAAAGTAACAGCAAAAAGGAGAATAACATACTTGAAAGAAAAAGGAAAAATGTGCATGTGATTAGGATCCAAAGAGATTTAAGAAAAGAAAGAAAATTTACCCACAACTTTCATATCTGCCAAGTTATTTTAAAGTGGACTCTAGTACAACCGGACAGTGTGATTCTTAGCATGTGGTTTTAGCCTTTTTCTTTTTCTTTTGTTTCGAAATATTTTTTTATAAAACTACAATTACTTATTATTATTAGTAAGCAACTGATCTATTGCAGGGACATGAAAGTGTCAGCACTAAAAATTATAATGCATAATGCATTTTACAAAATTGTTGCTGTTGATGTCTCCATCTTGTTGTTGTTGGAGCATGTGGTGGTGTGGTCCTTGGATTTTGGTTTTGTCTATTTTGGTGTCGCTTACATAAAAAAGTGGCTGCTTTTGTTAAAAATAAGGGGTTAGCAAATTCAGGACTGAAGTCTCTGATTGACGGTGCTAGAAAGTTTAGAAAGTTGGGAAATTTTGACAATTTCATACCGAAATTTTGACTCGTTTGTGCTTGAAAACGGCCAGCAATTTACAATGCGAATCACAAGAAATTATGAATAAGATGCTGAACCAACAAAACAAATTCAATATCAGTCATTTATTGGTCAATTTTCACAAGGTCTAAACTACAAGTTCCCTTTCTTTTGGGTTTTCTTTTCCATCCCTCTCTCTCGCTCACTCTCCGTTTTTTTTTCCCCTTAACAAAATTGTTTTCTTTTCCTATGTACAAGTTACAATCTAGAGGACTGAAATCATTGAGAAAAAGCAGAGGCACCTCTTCAAGCTTGCAGATAACTCCAATAAAAGATAGAGCCGAGAGCCCGAAAAACCATGAACCAAAAACTGAGCAGTCAGCAGCCCTCTCTCTCCCTCACAAGGTGTAAAATCCATCAATACATAATATACAGAAATCATCTCCCTTCTTTGCCTCCAAACCAAAAAAAGCTGCGAATTCTCCCTCGTAAAGCTGTCAGAATAGTCTTTCAAAATTGGAATGCCATCAATTCAATGTCGCTGGGGGATTGATTATAGGCATTACTTGCTACTGGCTACTGATGACTCCTCTATTTCATCATAGTGGCTCTCTCTTTGGCACGGAAGTCATCCAAGCTACGGTATACTTCCCTGAGCAAACGATCCAATTCTGGATGTTTCATTAGAGGCTCTTTCTGATCCCGTTGTTCACGATAATGATGAAATGCCCTACACATACACAAGGAATTCCAAAATATAAAAAGCAACTTAGATGCACATGCCTGGACGACAAAAGGATTACTAGCCAGTCACCTATAATTCAAATTCAGTTCAAAACAGTTATACTTGAAAATGACATAATTAAAGATCTTCAATTCCTTATGAAACGAGAGCATTTAAACAAAATTTCGCACTTATAGTTAATGTTAGCTTTGTTATATGTATTCATCATAAATATAGGTGAAAGTGAGCAATTCTATAAATCCTCTAAACTAAATGTTTTCATCTCCTTTGTATTATTACCAATTACCACAATATCATCTACATAAGGCTGTAAGTAATAATGTCTAAACAGACTGGTCGTGGTGATATCCATGCTTTCTCATAGATTGCATAACTATGCCAAACCAAGCTTTAGGATGTTGCTTCAACCTATATGGTGATTTTCTCAATCTGCACTTGCGCCTTAAAAAATGGTAGCAAAGCTAGGAAAGAATTCATTCACACTTCCTCCTCAAGATCCCTGAGAAGAAAATCATTCATATCATAATGCTGGAGGGCAATTCCAAATCTGCAGCCAAGGATAGTAGAACCTGGATGGTATTGACCTTTCAATAAAACCGTCTACCTTCTGCTTCACCTAAATATCTCCATTTGCAACCAACTACAAGTAGAGTTCTTTTCGAGACCTTCCATTCCTCAGCCACAGCAGCCTTCCAATTAGATTTTCCAGGAACATAAGGAGAGACATAGAGGACCAGGTCGCAAAATCTTTATAAGATTGTGATAAATATTGATAAGACAAATACAGATGGTGACAACAATCATGAGACTTATGTTCACAGGAAGTGGTAACCAGCAGCATTAGTCCCCTTACTGGGAATCGAGTATCATTAACATGCACATCCATATCAGTTAAATCAATACCAAAAGGTCAACACATGGGTTGGATTCTGCAAACAACTTCAGGATTCACATGAATGGCAATTGATTGGTCAGTTGATTGGTCAACAGGTGTCTTAAGTGTCCAATTCACTACTTCTACGATAGCATAGTTACCAATTACATCTATGAAACTTTGGTAACTTATACCAAAACTTCCCTTAATCACACCCCGCTCCCCCTGAAGAGAAGTTTCTGGTTCACCTAAAATGTTTCTTCCCTAAATGAGATATCACCAAAAACAAACATTTTCAGCGAAGGAGAGTGATAAAACTTTCCATTCTAAGTGGCAGAATATCCCAAAGATATACACTTAGGGATACAAGGATCAAACTTACCCCAGTGTTCTTGGTGGACATGGATATACCAACAGAACCAAACACCTTATCAGGAATACAAAGCTAAAATGGGACTGGGCTGAGAACCAAAAAGGGGCTTTGACGAAATTCAATTGATAAGATATGCAGTTTGGCGTTGCATCCCAAGCAGAGAGCTAACCTGAAATGGGATTTATTTGAATAAAAGAATGAACAAAACTGAAGAACTACAATTGAAACAAGACCAGGATTTATATGAAGAGCAAGAAAAAACAAGATTATATCTCAAAAAATGAAATGGGAACCAACAACAAAAAGCGAAACAACTTCGGGCATGGCCAGCTCACATAGTGTGAAGGGCGGCGTGTACAAGGCCTGGGAACGAATTCACCGCCATATGGCTGACCGGCGATTACTAGCGATTCCGATTTCATGTAGGCGAGTTGCAGCCTACAATCCGAACCGAGGACGGGTTTTTGGAGTTAGCTCACCTCACAGGATCACAACCCTTTGTCCCGGCCATTGTAGCATGTGTGTCACCTAGGGCATAAGGGGTATGATGACTTGATGTCATCCTCACCTTCCTCCGACTTATCACGGGCAGTCTGCTCAGGGTTCCAAACTCAACGGTGGCAACTAAACACGAGGGTTGCACTTGTTGCGGGACTTAACCAAACACCTTACAGCAACAGTTGATGACAGCCAAGATTTCATTTCAATTGGAATTTGGTTATTCACCATATACGAGGATCCCCGCTAAGCATCCATGGCTGAATGGTTAAAGCGCCCAACTAATAATTGGCGAATTCGTAGGTTCAATTCCTACTGGATGCATGCCAATGGGACCCACCAATAAGTCTATTGGAATTGGCTCTGTGTCAATGGAATCTCATCATCCACAAATAATGAATTGGTGTGGTATATTCATATCATAACATATGAACAGTAAGTACTAGCATTCTTATTGAGTCTAGAACTCATAGGGAAGAAAATAGATTTATGGATGGAATCAAATATGCATTACCCCAGAAAGATTGAGAAACATATATAGCAAAAAAGATCAATAACCTATATACACCTATGAGACGCCAATTTTTATGCGTAGAAACACCATCTTGTTAGGGTGAATCTTTTCCTTCAAGAAAAAAAAAAACTTTATTACAAGAAAGCTATGTGAAAAATGTGGATGAGCCACGAGGTCTCCATAGACAGCCAGTTGAATGTCAAGTCTTGGAATGGGGTTATAGGCTAGCATTGGTACAAGTGAAATTTCAAGGCCAAACAATCACAACAATGGCAGCAACAACAGGGAGGCAAGGCAGCACCCAGTGAACTATTCCATCTAAACCAAGTCTAGCAAGTAAACCTTAAATTTCTGCAGTCTGATACCAAGCTATGATGTTAGATAAATCAATTTTTCTTAATCATCTTCATTTACGAAATTCTTTTTACAGCACGAGATTTCATGGAGATTAATCAAAGTCTTATTAACCTAATCACAAAATTAGGAAATCAATATTTTAAAACACAAGGTTTCATGGAAATGAACCAAAATCTAGTTAACTGTAACAGAACACTATGGTAAATTTTCTAATAGGAAATTCAATTTATTTAGTTATTTTATTTTTTATAATGAAGGTTAAGAATCTATAATTGACTATCCACTCCTCTTTCCATTTAATAAAAAATTATTTTAATGTTTAATTCTTTCCTTAAAATATCAACAGAATTCTTAACAGAAAACAATATAATATGCTGCAAAAGAACACCAAGCTCAAAGAAAAAAGCAGCTGATCTGCATAGACATCAGAAAGAAAAAGGAAGTTAATGTTAAGAATAGTTACCAATACTTTTCAAGGCCATAGAGATTGCCTTTATGGTAAAACTCAACTGTGAGCTGTTCAAAGTCCTTATACAGATCCTCTCTAAAATCCTTCTCCAAACCATAACTGAAATAAGAATACATAGACCCACACATTAGTGCTAATGTACTGAAGAGAGAAACATACTTAGAATTCTTGGTTAAATAACTGAAAACACAAGTGAAGCTTAAAATTCAAGTGGGGACTGCAAATATTACTAAAACAATGTAAAGAGCACAATTTACCACTAACCTATAGAACCTGAAAAGGCACTCGACTCCATAATTATAACCAGCAGCAGCATCTTCATGTGCGTATTTCCAGAACTCATCATACATCGAAGAGTTGAACATGCTTCTTAGGAAATAAGACCAAAATCTATAGAGAGTATTCATTTCCTGCGTGGAAAGTAACAAGACACATCTCACTGCAAATCATGGATATTGAAAAGAGACAATGCATAAAAATCCAGACAATTTTATGTAGACAAACTTGCATGACAAACTAAAATGAAAATCCCATTCACATACTTCGTGGACCAAAACAGAGGCAGTGGCATTGACATTTAAAGTAACTACTTTGAAACTCAATTGCAAAGAGAAACAGTTCAGTTACATCCTCACACACAAACGTAAAGATTCAACCATTACATGGAGGTGGATTTGCAACTTTGATGAGTAATGCCAAGAAATCAATTAGCAATTCGTATAACAGAGGATAAAGAATACAAAATTATGTGAGATTGATTTCAGAAGAAATTGAATACTAAATTTAGGCGACAACAATCTAATCATAAATTAAAGCTTTCAACCAATAGAAAA